TGTTCTGATTGGGTGGAGGTGTGTTCTGATTGGTTAGGGGCTTGGCTGTGCTCTGATTGGATGGGGGGTTGGTTGTGCTCTGATTGGATGGGGGTGTGTTCTGTTTGGGTGGGGGCTTGGTTGTGCTCAGCTTAGTCTGAGTTTCAGGGGGATTTGAGCTGGTGAGCTGCGTTGTTGTTTGGCTTTGTGTTTGTGGCCGTGCGAGCTCTTTATGGTGGGTGTCAGTCTGCTTCATGTATGGATTGGAGGGGTTTAAAGTGGCTAATGATGCAGCTGCGGTCTGGCTTCTGGTCCTTGGTCGTGGCTCATTATCAGTGTGGATTTGAGTCTGCTTTCTGCGTGGATGTGTGGTGGTGACATCCTGTGTGGCTCTCGTGAGTGTGGGTCTGGTGTCATTCATCGTGTTAGGGACACTTTGGGACAAATCCAAACAACTTGCCGTCTGGAGAGCCGAAACACAGACCACCCTCAAGACAGACACACACACCAACAAACTCCGAAGACTACAAGAACGCCAGAAACAATCCCCTCCATCCTCACAGCCACACATGAAACAAACAGTGCATAACATCTCAGATAGGATCCTCACCAAAGCCGAAACCAATGTCCTTTCCAAAGGATTCAATATAAAATATATAAAATATAAGACAGGGTCTTATTTTCGGGGAAACATGGTGTGTGTGTGTGTGTGTGTGTGTGTGTGTGTGTGTGTAATTATTATTATTATTGGATTACATTTGATTACAGATTAAATTGTACAGAACGACCAGAAGTGAAGATTATATTGTATATATTATGAGAATAATGGCTATAATAAAGGTGTATAATATTATATGTATTCAAAAGATATTTGATACGGACAGTACACTATCATTGCAGAAATGGAAATGTGATGTATAACAAAGGAAAATATATAATAAAAAATATTTCTTTAAAAAAAGTGTGTTCTTCCCATGGTATCTGCTGTGGACTAGTTGTATTCGAACTGAAAGCCTGTAAATATGTGATAATAATGTTAGCTCTCCAGGCTATAATACAGCGTGCTTGGTTTTGCTTAATATTTATTGAATAGCCTTCTTACTTTGAATATTGTGTGGGTAGTAAATTATTAATTTGAATAGCTTCCAGTTTTTTATTTAATATGGAAAGATAAACAAACAAGCAAACCCCCCCCCCAGATTATATAAGCAACAGGAGAATACACGGGTGTTTTCACACTTGAGTGTGTTCTTAAAGAAGGTTTACTGAGTAGCAGTGACTTCATTGTTGCAGTGATACGTATGTACTGTTATGTTCACTATTTGATGTGTGCATTACTGATGATGCACGGAATGTGAAGTAGGCCACACAAGAAGCATTTTATATGCATATCCCCTTTCCTTATCAATCATTTAAAAAACCAACAGGAATTTGAAGTTAAGTCAGACATTATTTTGTTCATCTCTGATATGACAAATATTTTGAAAAGATATTAGTAGTTTACAAAGGATCCCCAGATTGAAAGTAGAAAGAAGGAAGCTTCTCACGTTAGGTGTAATTCATCAGCAATATCTATAGATCTTTTTAAAAAAAATTATTTAGGAGTTTTTATGGTTACCCAATTCCCAGTGATTCTGGATGGCTTACAAAGATAAGACCCCCAATAAAAAAATCCAATACATTCCTATCCCTCTGGTCATATAACATTCAGAACTTGGTAGTAAAAACTTTTGGGAGGGCCATTTGCATGGGCGTCCACAGAATACGGGGATGAAAGTGAAAATGAAAATTGAAAAGAACAGAAATTCGTGAGAATTTATGTAAGACATTACTGTTACAAGTGCAAAACTAAGGACTGGACTAGGTGGATCTGTGAGCATATGATGCTGGCAGAAGAAAGAGATGCTGAGCCTTGGTGGCGCAGCAGACTAAAGTACTGTTAAGTAACACCAGCTGCCTGCAATTACTGCAAGTTCAAATCTCACTAGGCTCAAGGTTGACTCAGCCTTCCATCCTTTCAAGGTAGGTAAAATGAGGACCCGGTTTGTGGGGGCAATAAGCTGACTTTGTATAAAAAAGAACACTTTTTTACCTGCTTAGTAGGGCCGAAAGCCCTACTAAGCAGGTATATACAAAAGTATGAAGGCTATTGCTTAACGCATTGTAAGCCGCCCTGAGTCTCTGGAAAAGGGCGGCATATAAATCGAACCAATAAATAAATAAATAAATAAATAAATAAATAAATAAATAAATAAATAAATAAATAAATAAATACCTCCATCTGAATCAGAGGTGGGATTCAGCAGGTTTGCACCGGTTTGGGCAAACCAGTTGTTAACTTTTTGCCCAGCTCTGAAAACTGGCTAATCCCACCACTGGCTGGCCCCACCCCACCCCACCCTCCCAGGAGTCCCTCCTTATCTCGCATCACCTGCCTTAGCCAGTACCTAAAGTCATGCCCGTGGCATAGCTGCTGCTGCTCTCTGGCTCCCTTTCTCCCTTGCCTTGACCACATGGATTCCCGCTTGCCTGCCTTCGCTGCAACCTCCCACATGGCCCAGCTCCCTGCGTGGTGAGTCTTCCTTTGATGATCTCTGCTGCCTCCCACACAGCCCAGACTTTAAATATTTTTGCAGCAGGAAACAGTGGGTGGCTACTTCTGGCCTTTGTTGGTGCAGCTGGGCACAAATCGGTCGCTTGGGAAGCAACCTGATCTCTGTCCCGAGACACTGGCCTGCTGCAGCTGCCAGCCCGAACCGCCTACCACCGCTGCATCCTCATTGTTGTCCGGAACTACCTGCTGCCTCTGCCTCCACCTCCTCAGTGCTGGCCTGAACCGACTGCCACCGCCTCATTGCTGGCCCGCTGGCCTGAATCACCTGCCACCACTGCTGTTGCCTCATAGCCAAAGTAGCCTGCACAGCACCTTGTGCAGCACATTGAAATTTAGCACGCAAGGGGAGACAGGGTCCCCTCCTCCTCCTGAAGTCCATTATGACGCAGAGCCACAATGCGGGCTCGCCCCTAACAATAGCAGTGGCATCAGCCATGATGTGGTTCAGGCCAGAGGCAGGCAATGCAGCGGTGGTGGCAGGCCAGTGTCTCAGGGCAGAGACCAGGTCACACATCTCCCCGAGTGACTGAGGCAGCAATAAAGGCCAGAAGTAGCCGCCTGCCATTTCCTGCTGCAAAAATCTTTAAAAAAGAACCTGACTGTCAGGCAGAGAGACCCAGCAAGAGATGAGGCACCAGAGAATCACACCCAGATGCTTCTCTCAGCCGCACTGCTTCTTGGATACGGCTCTGAGCCTGAAGTGGCGGGAGGCAAGGGCAGCCTTGAATGCAAATGTACTACGACGAAGGTGGACTGCTGTTGCTGTGACCAAGGCAAATAAATACAGGGGCACTTCACTTCCGCATTAAGGCTCTGGCCATCACCACTGCTGCTTTGGCCTCCTGTGCCACCCCAACTTGCCATAACAATGCCATTACCTTGTTCTGGCCGGCGGGGGCTGCACTACTCCTTGCATCACTTCTTGTACCATCATCTATGGTGGAGATTTCCAACCCCACACAGAGCGAGTATCCCTCCCCTGCCATCACCCTTACAATCTCAGGCCAGGCAAGGAATGACTGGGAGGGGAGGGGAGGGGCAAGGGGCATGGCTAGCCAGCACTCCACTCCCATACTAAGGCTCTGGCCATCATCACCTCTGCTTCGGCCTGACTGCGCCACCCCACCTTGCCATGAGTGACATCGGGTTGGCCACACCCACTCAGTCACATGAGCTCCCTAGCCACGCCCACCCAGCCAGTCATTAGGGAGAACCAGTTGTTAAATTACTTGAATCACCCCACTGATCTGAATCCCATAAAAATTGGCCCCTTAATGCAGCGGGAGTAAATTGGCTCTCTTTAGTAGCAGCCACAAAGCACCTCCAAAGTACTCCAACCAGTGGAGATTCCGCTAAGTTTGACAATGGAGAATCTCAGCTGGCCATGAGCAGGAGCATCACCATTGCTCCTTGGTTCCATATGGACAACATATGCTTTGTTAACTTAAAAACGGTTTCATGGTTTTGTGATGTAATAAAGTAAGATACCTGGAGGCAAATACCCTTTTTGTCTGTTTGGAAAACAATGCAAAGGCTGATCTACAATGCGTTAGTTTTGAGAAAGTCTAGTTCCATGCTAGGGATAAAATGGCCAAGATTGCAGTGGCTTTATACAAATCCGTGGAATAACAAAATATAGTAGCTACAACATTTCTGGAAAAACCACCAGAAGAGTCATTCAAATGGTAGAAGATTACAAAAAAGAGTACAACATTTGTTAGCTTCCTAATTTAGAGGAGGGGAAAAAAAAACAGGAGAAGGGATAAATTATGGAGGGATATAACTTTGAACATTCAAGTTTTTTCCCCCCATTTCTCACAGGGATGTCTATGGGATGTAAGAAAAGTCTAGTTAGTATTTACAACTGAATAACTGAAGCTCAGTCATTTTTTTATGTGCATCACATAAATAAGCAGGGCTCAGATTGCATAGCCCCAGCTGCCATTCTTTTTCCCAAGCACACCCCAGTGCAACCTGATATGTCTTAATAACGGAATGCATCATCATCCAATGGAAGTCTATCAGACCATATACAGGTCTGATAGACTTCCATTGGATGATGATGCATATACAGTAGGGATGGCCATCAACTTGATTGGCTTTAAAAAATAGAATCTCTGGGGATAACCAGGGGTGAAATCCAGCAGGTTCTGACAGGTTCTGGAGAACCGGTAGCGGAAATTTTGGGTAGTTCGGAGAGCCCCAGAGTGGAATGAGAATGGAGATTTTGCAATATCCTTCCCTTGGAGTGGGGTGGGAATGGAGATTTTGTAGTACCCTTCCCCTGCCACACCCACCAAGCCACACCCACCAAGCCACACCACGCCCACCAAGCCATGCCCACAGAACCGTTAGTAAAAAAAATTGGATTTCACCAGTGGGGATAACCCTGTTGAGTTGATGTTACCTCTAGGATGAAAAGTAGCCAGCCTCCAAATGCCAGGGACCAAGGAAGATCTCTGGAGGAAAATCCACTTCTCAACTCTGTTGGGGTTTTTTTGAAAGTAGATGGATAGTCACTGTGGAAGGTTCAAGATGTGGAAAGGCTTTGGAGTGTTTCAGGGAGATTCAGCCTGTTGGGTTGAAGTTACATGAAATTTCAGTATTTTATTGACTATTTCTGTACAGTTCTGACTAGTTCTGTAGAGCCTGACTAGGTGGCTCAGTGGCTAAGACACTGAGCTTGTCGATCAGAAAGGTTGGCAGTTCGGGGGTTCCAATCCCTAGTATAGGTCTCTCGCATGAGCAGAGGGCTGGACTAGATGACCTCCAAAGTCCCTTCCAACTCTGTTACTGTTATACTGTTATAGTTCTTTAAACTTCAGGGTTTGAACTTAAAATATAAAGAAGCACCGTAATACCGATATGTACACCTTCCTACTGATTTTTTTTAATCTTATTCCAAAGGGAAACAAGATCCAAAGAAGGTAACTTTAACAATGAAACTGATCTCTGATTAATCTACCTGATCCATAGTTATACTACTACACAGAAGGAAAATAGGTTCTGAGGGAATGTGTGTTTAAAAAACCTCACAGACGCATCTTTAAAAGATCAACTTAAGTTTTAATGACTAAGCAGTCTTCTCCATATGAAAAGAAATACCAGAAAATAAAGCCAGAAGATATTGCTTTTGATGAGAAAATAAATCTAGATCTATGTACATATTGGCAAAACTAAAACCATCTGATCCGGAGGAATATATCAAAGATGGGAAGAATAATAAATAGTGCCTCCCGAGCCATGTTTTGAAGATGCTGCCAGTTTGCCAAAGAAGTTAATAAGAAGTCAAAAATCATTCTGCCACTTTTTTTTCCCAAAGAGGATCCTACTTAATGCTCCATTTAATTTGCTCAAATGTCAAGACACATCAAAATGGGAAATTTATTGTATTAGTCATTGAAAGAGATATAGTTGGAGCATCATGATATCTAAAGATGATTAATAAAAATAGCTATTGATTTTACAAAGACAATAAATCTAGCTGATTACATTATGCCACAGAGGGACACCCGCTTCCTTCCCTTTGCATTCTGAAAATATCTCTATATTTTTTGTTAAGATATCAGCAAAACCGGTCCTACCAAGTAGAGAGATGCCATTGCCTCGATATAAATGCCTTTTATACTATTGCCTTTTTCCAGCAAAAGCATTGAATTGGCTTCACAGTGCTTCCTGAGAATAAATCATTGATGACTTTGAGGACGATGTCTTCAAAATAGCTTTAAAGGTAAAGCTTAAGCTTCATTAACATCTGGAAAATATTTTTGTAATGTTTATATGGCATTCAGTCAGATCTATTGTCATCTCAGATTAATCCTGAAGTACAGGTAAGAAGGACAATAATAAAAGCATTATAAATAATGAAAATTTAAAATGTTACATTTCCTATCTATTCAGAAGTAATCCTTTTCTTCACATGCAGGTGAATTTGCTCTATGTGAACTCGTCAGTCTACTCTTTTGACCCATTGAAAGACTCTGCTCTCTAAATTGGGAAAATCTGCAGTGCTATTCTGCCATACCTTTACCAAATTATAGATAATGAATACAGAGAAGAAGGACTTTGCTTTTAAACTCTTCTCAAAAAATGGGGAGAAAGAGGCCTGGTTGCTCAGAACTGGGAGACTTTGAAAAGAAAATTTATATTTCGTATTTCTGGATATAAACCCTTGGAGATAAAATCAGTAATTATTAATAGAATCCCACCAAATGTTTTCTAATACCAAGGACAACAATAAGACATTAGGATTTTTCTACAAGAGAGGAGGAAAAAGGCAATCCGAATGATCCTGAAGTACAATGTTTTTTACCTTTCTATCCGTACATTTCTTATCCATTGGAAAAGATCAATATCAATATTTTTTCTCTACCTATTCAAATTAATCACAATGTTCTCTTTATGAGAAAATCAGTGTGCTTTTGAGAATTATTTAAACATTAACATATATTTTGTGTAGGAAAACAGTATATTATGAGTTGCACAGAAGACTGATAGACTAATGAGATAGTCACAGACCTTTGTTAAAAAAATACATAAATTGATTACAAGGTCATGTGAATCTTCCAGAGTTACATTTAATTTTTTTAAAAATACACAAAAGAATCCCTGAATTGCTTAAAAGAATTTCTTGGCTTAAAAAATATATATAGTTGCATTTCTACTCTAAGCAGGTTCTGAATCCAGGAGTTAATTTTCATCACCGAAACTGAATTGAAAGGATTCAGAACTTTCTTGTAAATTCTATTTTTTTTTTTAAAAAAAAGTAATTTTGGTATTGCAGTGAATTGTTATAATTTATAAACATTAGCATTTGCTCAGATTTCAAAACCAGTTGGACAGAGAAAAAGGTAAGAGGTCTCGGTCTGGGGATATTATCTGGGAAAAATTTGAGTCCGTTAGTCCTGAAGAAATGGATACTGAAAGGTACAAATGGCTCTGGAAGAAACAGATAATCTGGAACTTTTCAGTAGGGACTCAGGTCCAAACAGGAATAGAAACTCCATTGGTCACTCTGCTGACAATCTATAATGGGACTTTGATAGGGAGAGCAAAATCCTACTCACTTTCTGGAACTCTCAATGGCTTTTTATATCATTGACCATGGCATCCTTCTAGAAGATTGTCTGCAAGGGTTTAGTATCAAAAACAACATTTCAGTTGTTGAAAAGCAGAGTGTACAATGGATGATTGGATAGTAGCCAATCCAAACTTTCCTGGACCAACAATCCCTACTCATGATCACTCATGCCCTAGTCACCTCCCATCTTGACTATTGCAATGCACTCTACATGGGGCTGCCCCTGAAAAGCATCCAGAAGTTCCTGTTAGTGCGAAAATGCAGCAGCCCACATAGTTTTGTGCAGACTTCGGTGTGCACATGTATCACATCTCCTGTGGGAACTGCATTGGGTGCTGATTTGCTTCTGGATTCCACTCAAGGTGCTGGTTGTCACATTTAAATCCCTTCATGGCTTGGGACCAGGTTATCTGAGGGACTGTCTCTAGTTGATCATATCTACCCAACCTACTAGAACAGGGAAGCAAGGAATGTTGCAGGTCCTGTCCCCTAAGAAGATATATCTGCGGGACCAGTGGTGGCTTGCTACCAGTTCGCCCCAGATTGGGCGAACTGGTAGAGGCGGTGGCAGGAGGCTCCGCCCACCTGCCTGGATGTCTCTGCACATGCGCTGAAGTGTCACATGTGTGTGCATGTGTGTGCCCATGAACAAACCGGTAGCGAATGAAATTGAAACCCAGTACTGGGCAGAACCCAGAAGAAGGCCTTCTCCGTGGTGGCTCCCATTCTCTGGAACATCATCCTCCCCCCAAGGTTAGATTGGCTCCCACTCTACCACTCTTTCAGAAGGCCCTTTCAGTGGGCCTGGGAAACCCAGAGCAGAATGGAGCCCATTAAATGGCTAGTATGAATGTGTGTTGTTGCTGGGGTGGGAGTGGGTTATTATTTTATTATTTTTCTTTTTATTCTTTTTATTTTTTTTTATATGCTGTTTTTATAGCTTTGTAAACCACCTTGAGTCATCATGTGCAAGTAGGCGGCAATATACCAAGGGCCTTGGTAGTACAGTGGTCTAAGGCACCCTGTTATTAAGCTGGTTATTAAAACCAGCTGCCTGCAATTACTGCAGGTTCGAATCTCGCCAAGGCTCAAGGTTGACTCAGCCTTCCATCCTTTCTAAGGTAGGTAAATTGAGGACCCAGTTGTGGGGGCAATAAGCTGACTTTGTATAAATATACAAAAGGATGAAGGCTATTGCTGAACACATTGTAAGCCACCCTGAGTCTCCGGAGAAGGGCGGCATATATATCAAATTTATATATATATAAATTATATATATAAATTTAGAATATATATATATTCTAAATAAATAAATAAAATAAACCTTTCTTCCATTTGATTTAATCAATCAAAATTGAGGATGATGAGATAAATGAGTTGATTGGTCAAGGTAGAGTATCATCAATATACTGAAACACATTTGTAGATCTGTACTCCAGTAGAGATTTAATAGAAGTCTTGATTCAATGTTTGGGGATTATAATTTTTTTTTATTGTAAAAGTTTTATAATTACATTTTCACCCCATTTTCACCCCCCTAACCCACCCCTAACTCCCCAGCCCACTGTCCCTAACCCCCCCTAACCCTCCCCTCCCCCCGGACTTCCATAGAATATACCTCCATCATTATCCCGTTTATGTAAAACTTGAGCCCCCCAACCCCCATATCATTTTTCATCTTCACATAGTTCAAATATTTCTATCTTAATATAATATAATACTATCAATGAAAAGCTATTTGATACTTCCTAGTTTGATATTTGTTCTGCACATAATCTATCCACTTTTTCCATTCACATTCATAAGTCTCTTGTGAGCGGTCTTTTAGATATGCTGAAATCTTCGCCATCTCAGCGAAACTGGCCATCTTCAAAGTCCATTCCTCAACAGTGGGCAAAGCTTCATTTTTCCAATATTTGCCTATCAACAATCTCGCTGCTGTAATCATATACAAAATCAAAAATAGCTTTGCGAAATCACTCTCCCTTTCAGCTCGTTAGCGCTAGAGCGGCGCCATTTTTTCAAGCCGTTTCTGCTCGCTCTAACTTTTTCCCAAATCAGAAGTTCAAAAGAGGAGAAATACTTGCAGTTTCTTGGTTTAGGGGTTGATGTTGTTTTATAGCAAAGTTATTTTCCCATCAGTTTAAATGTTTGCTGCAGCCGGCTTGCTCTGACAGGCAGAGTCGTCCCACGCCGTCCAGAGTCTCCGCAAGTTGAAAGGGAGCTGCGCCCGTTTCCTCCCCAGTAGCAGACTTCTGGGGGCTCACAGGGGCTCGACCTGCCTCTTGCTTCACTCTTCTCCTCAAATCCTCAGGATTTTGGAGTTTTCAAGCCGCTCCCCTCACTCGGAGCGGCTCTACAGGCGGCGGGGCTGGCGGTCCTTCAAAAGCGACCGTCTTCGCCGGTGGCAGACAAACCGGAAGAGGGGATTATAAATTGATAAGAAAAAACAGTCTGAGAGCCAAAGAAAATGGAGTGGCTTAACGTAGAAGTTAACTTATTATGGGGGGGTGACAACATCTAGATAGGATTATATTTTCCCTGAAGGAACTTGTCTGTAATCTGGGGGCTTTCTTGGATGAATAACTCCTATTAGAACAGCAGATGGAAGCTGTGTCTAGAAGACCATTTGTCCATCTCCAGTTGGTCTGACAAGTATGATCATTCTGGAATAAAAGGTACTGGTAAGAACCAATACTTCATCACTAAAACATCAGTTGGTACAGGATTAGCTGTGTGCTAATATAGTAGGACCATCTATATAATGTTGCACTCTAGTAATATGGCAACTGTATTGGCTATCAATTTGTTTCTGGGTGAAATTCAAGGTGCTAGTAATAACTTATGAAGTCCTACATAGCTTAGAACTAGGTATCTGCAAAATGGCTCCAGTCTGAGTCCACCCAATCAAGGCGTGATAGTAAATAGAATAGAATAGAATAGAATAGAATAGAATAGAATAGAATAGAAATAGATAGAATAGAATAGAATAGAATAGAATAGAATAGAATAGAATAGAATAACAGAGTTGGAAGGGACCTTGGAGTCTTCTAGTCCAACCCTCTGCCCAGGCAGGAAACCCTACACCACTTCAGACAAATAGTTATCCAACATCTTAAAAATTTCCAGTGTTGGAGCATTCACAATTTCTGGAGGCAAGTTGTTCCACTGATTAATTGTTCTAACTGTCAGGAAATTTCTCCTTAGTTCTAAGTTGCTTCTCTCCTTGATTAGTTTCCACCCATTGCTTCTTGTTCTACCCTCAGGTACTTTGGAGAATAGTTTGACTCCCTCTTCTTTGTGGCAACCCCTGAGATATTGGAACACTGCTATCATGTCTCCCCTAGTCCTTCTTTTCATTAAACTAGACATATCCAGTTCTTGCAACCATTCTTCATATTTTTTAGCCTCCTAAAAAATAGTCCCCTAATCAACTTTGTTGCTCTTCTCTGCACTCTTTCCAGAGTCTTAACATCTTTTTTACATTGTGGTGACCAAAACTGAATGCAATATTCCATAGATAGAAATGTTCTGTATCAATTAATTCTCTGTCCCCGCTGTTCAGTTTAAATGTTTATCCAGAAAAATCTGTGAATTTATTACTAAGTAACTCAGTCCCTTTCTTTGATGGATGCAATCCATCTCTTTTGTACAGTTTTTCATTGGACAAGTTGCAGACATAGTATATAAAAGATATACAGAGTATATTAAAGATTTCCACCTCTCAGTTTGGTGTAGTGGTGAAGACCTAGTCTAGAAACCAGGAGACCATAAGTCCTGGACCTGCCTTAGTCACGAATCCAGTAAGGTGACCTTGTGTCAGTCACTCTCTCTCATTCTTAGCCCTAGGAAAAAGGCAGTGGCAAATCACTTCTGAAATCTTTTCAAGAAAACTGCAAGGATTAATCCTGGCAGTTATTACAAGATAACATTGACTTGAAGGCTATGTTGAAGGCACCAAGAGAGAGAGAGAGAGATAGAAAGAAAGAGTGAGAAAAGAAAGAAAGAAAGAAAGAAAGAAAAAGAAAGAAAGAAAGAAAGAAAGAAAGAAAGAAAGAAAGAAAGAAAGAAAGAAAGAGTGAGCAAGAGAGGAGGAAAACCCCAAGGTATGACAGGAAGGACCTCAGAAGCAAGAGCTTTGTGTCAGATCTTTGCTTCCTATTTCGAAAGTTTGTAAAAACCTAATTGCTTAGGCAGGCATTCAAAGATTGAGGAGTTGATGTATTTTTGGATGTGTGTGGGCACTGCTTATTGTTGTTTGTGGTTACTATTCCAATTCTAAAGTGGAATTAATATTTATATGGTTGGTTGTTTTTTTAATAGCTTTTGTAAACTTCTTAAATTCCCAACTGAAGCAGAATAAAAGCATATGCAGAAACAATACAAAACAAAATAAGCATTACAACATTAATGGGGTTAGAATAATAGATCCTAATCTTATTTGCTAGCACTATTTTACAGAACACCCACCCTATTCAATTCATTCCCCCCCCCCCTCTCTCTCTCTCTCCCTCCCTCCCTCCCTCCCTCCCCCTCCCCCTCCCCCTCCCCCTCTCTCCATTGAAGATTTATTGATTAACTGAACAACCTTTTAACACAGATTTTTTTTTTTAATTTTCAGTGCCTTAAAGATCTGTTCTAGTGTGCAACAATTTCTTGGATTCCTAAAAAAAGATTCAGACCAATCATTGTAAAGGTAAGAAAGTTTGGTATCTTATCATTAACTCTGTTAATACTAGATCTCTGTTCCTTCCTTCTCAGCCAGTCCATAATTCAAAATATTTTACTATCACCTGGTTAATATACAGTAATATGCAATGAATAAAGTTTCTCACCTGGAATTTTCATTTTATTTCTCTCTCATATCCCACTCCTGATACATCATATACTATATAATGAAGGTAATGCTAAAATCCTGTCAGGCAAACAATGAATCTTAGGTGTTCATATCTTAATCTTTTACCTTATTTCTATTCAGAGTACCCCTTTCATTCATAAAACATAAGTTTGTTTTATTTTGTTCTTTACAGTTCTTTCCATAATAAATTTCAGAACCTGATTATATCACCATTTGTACATCTCCTCTTAAATGTCAGCCTATCTATAAACCTACTCTCCAAGGCAGAAGATTGCCAAGTTCTGTTCTTCCACTTTCCCTACTTCAGTGCAACATGCAAAACCGTTCTTGATTTTCTGTGTTCCATATTCTTTGCTATCTGATATTTGAGGAGTTGACAATAAGAAGCTCTCACTGCTGGAGGCATTTTGTTTGTTTGTTTGTTTGCTTGCTTGCTTGCTTCAAGAAGAGATTATATATATTTTTCCCCCAAAGGAAATACCGGAATGATTAGTCATTGTGAGGAAAACTTGTGAAAATCAGTGGTATAAATTTATCATTCTTTTTTTTCTACACTATCACTTCACCATATTGAGCCAGTAAACATTCATCTTTCTCAGGAATGCTGGGAGTTGTAGTTCCATGGCAGGAAGTATATTTTAAATTTTATTAACTCATAAAACCACTGTTCTTGTTAGTAAGTCCAATGTATAATAGGTATAAGAGTGGAGAATAGATTGTGTTGCCTAGTATGATGTTATTTTATAAAAAAAACATTTATTACATTTTTGATGTACACCATATTGCACACATTGCAGATGGAAAAATATTACTAACAGTAATAAATAGATGCATTAAAATGGATAAACAGCCACCATGGGGGGAAGCCTGAACAACCCTGTAACTATAGAAGCCTAGAACTGAATTGTTCTTTTCCCATTCACTAGAATCCCAACTATATTTATTCTCCAAAGCTTGCAACTTTTGTCCTGGAAATCTCATTCTAAATTATGAGGTGGCGAGGAAATGCCACCTGATGAATCAGGGAACCATGTTCAACATTGGAAGGCTTTTTGTATTCATTTTCAGTCCTTGTTTGTTACAGGGTTTGTTAGGTTTCCAAGGATCTTGTGTTCAATCTCTGGCATCTCCACTGAAAAGATAATTTAAGTTTTTAGTCATAATATATGAATCTGAAGGGGCTGGAAATTGCATACATTATAAACTGATTAGTCTTCCAAGATGGTACATTCCATATGACTCCATTTTGGTGTTTTTCCAGAACGGTGTATTTAATAGCAGAGCAGCTTTTCTGCCAATGGGAAGACACAATACTAGGCTAGGCTGTCCAAATTGCCTGACTATAAATAACAAAACCTGGAGCGATGACACAGATTTTCTAATATTATCACCATATTCTAAGTTTCCTTGCTTTGTGAAGGCTGTTCTATATTTCATGTCAGATATGTATTTTAAGTTAAGTAAAAGTTGGTGCAATAAAAAGGAGATCTTCACTTTATTTTACATCTCTCATTGCAAACAAATACTGTAGGAATAGAATGTAGCTGCACAATTAAAATTCTAGTTGATTACTGCTTAGACTAAATTCTTTTTTTTTTTTTTAGAAGTAAAGGGTATAAAATAAAAGTAAGGAGGTTAATGTCTGCATGTGGCTACACAACAAGGAGAAAAGAAAGCTAAATTCATTGAAATAATTATTTACTCTGGTATATAAATATGCACTATATCACTAGACTCAGGAGAAATAATGTTGTATCAGTTTTAAAAAAATATTATTTTTTAATTATTTTATTTAATTATTTTATTTATTTATTTTATTTTATTTTATTTTTTAAATTATTTAAAAAAATATCAGTAATAAAAAATATTAAAAAATAGATCAACATTCTACCCAGAAGTTATCTAAGATAAAACTTTATCTGAGATAAAACTAGAATTATGGCTACATTTAGCATATGATTTTATTGGATAGGATGAGAGCTGCCCTTGTGTATATTACACTGAAGCGACAAAACAATGGGATTATTAGTACTAAAGTTCAGTGGCCAATATGCAGTGACAAAGAAGAAAAACAAGAAATTAAATTAGAAAACACTTTCTAGATATCACCTGTTTTACATTGTTGCACATGCCCATGCATGGACACCACATCCCTACACTGTGGTTCTTGCCTCTACAGCCCCACTCTAAGAGAGAGAGAGAGAGAGAGAGAGAGAGAGAGAGAGAGAGAGAGAGGGAGGGAGGGGGAGGGAGGGAGGGAGGGAGGGAGGGAGGGAGAGGGAGAGGGAGAGAAGAAGGAGGGCAGGGCAGGGCAGGGGCAGGGCAGGGGAGGAGGGGAGGAGTTAGGGAAGAAGAGAGAAGAGAACCGGGAAGGGAAGGGAAGGGAAGGGAAGGGAAGGGAAGAGAAGAGAAGAGAAGAGAAGAGAAGAGAAGAGAAGAGAAGAGAAGAGAAGAGAAGAGAAGAGAAGAGGACAGTCTGCGAGCTGAAATGAAACGACACATGGGTCATTCTCATGTGAGAGGAAAGAAGGAGGGCAGGGCAGAGCGGGGGGGGGGGAGGGGGGGGAGGGGAGGAGTAAGGGGAGAAGAGAACAGGGAAGGGAAGGGAAGGGAAGGGAAGGGAAGAGAAGAGGAGAGGAAAGGAGAGAGAGGAGAGGAGAGGAGAGGACAGTCTGCGAGCTGAAATGAAAGGACACATGGGTCATTCTCTGATAAAGCAGATACAGTTTTCTGAGTCTTTATTACTCGGAGTAGGTGCTGAAACATGGAGCTTTGGAGACTCCTACAGAGACCTACTTCCATGGTCAACAGAAACATCAGTGAACAAACTTTTTTTTTAAAAAAATAAAGCTTCTGCAGTGATTATAGGAAAGGGATCCAGTTTCACTCAATGGCACAATAAATACTCTTATCATTTCGATATAATTGGGTGTTTTCGAAGGAATAGCAGAGAAATAGCTTCAGTCTTTAGTCCTTTCCTTTTACTTCTAGGGCGAAAGAACTAAATCGCCATCGAATGGATCAATACCCATAGTTTGTCTTAGCTTCTGAAGGTGGTGACTTGCATGCTGCCAATCTTCCCTCTGCTACTAGAGATATGCCTGAGTTTAATTCTCATGCTCTTTGGCAAAGCCAAAAATTTTCATTCATCAGACTTACCCCATCATTGTGCCAAGAGGAGCCATTCATGCCATTAAGTTGAGAAGTAGCCTATTTCTTAACCTGCAAATACTTGTCCCCATCCCATAGCATAGCCAAGAATGCCAGGAGCTGCAGTCCCACACATTTCAAAGGACGTCAGCTTGGGGAAGGCAAGTCTAAAAGAAAGCTGTCCTGGGTGACTAACTTGAAAAGTAAAAGTGTTAATTATTCAGTGGTTGTATCTTAATGTTGCTGTTGAGGCAGGTACCATATTTATCTTAAAGTACCCCAGAGCAAAAGAACCTGGGAAGACGACAGGTAGCTCTGGAACCATATTTATCATGTAAATAGCTCAGAAAAGGATACTGCCAGTTACATCTTTTAAATACAAAAATGCATGCATTTCACTATTTTGTAAATGCCAGGGAGATGCAGCATCCGTTAGAGTTAACAGTGCGGCACTTTTGTGTTCAGTAGCATGAATCATTAATCATGAGACAGGCCATATTCTTGTACTGCTTCTGCTTTCATTACTTGGCCTAATTAAACAGTTCTCTGAACTGGAATCTCAGATTCCTCTGTTACAGATTATCATTAATTATGGTGAAAGTGCTCAGAGATGTTGGACTCAATTATATTCTGCTCAACCTTGGCACTGGGTGATTCATTGCACAGCCTGCTTTGCAGATGTACTCTTTTCTTATCTTGCACTCCCACTTTTGTAAATTGGGCTCCGCCAGCCAACAAACTAAGAGTTATGTGCTGCGTTTTCATTAAAAACATGTTGGAGAAGCACAGACCAATTAAGGATTCTGTATTTTATATGAAGTGATGAAGTGAACACTGGATTCTGGGAGCATTTTGCTCAGCGAGGAAAAAGGGGAAAAAAAACCCTCCAAAATGCAAGAGAAATACATAGAGACTTTCTTCCTTTCTTGCGATTTAAGTTTTAGAACTTTGCTGTACATTCTGAACAGAACTTCTTGTAGCAGAGTATACTCGCTGGCATACACACAAACATGCATACTGATTTTATCTTAAATTTAAGAACAGTCGCATACACCAGATTTTCAAAAACTTGCATTCAAACTTCATTCATGGGCACTGAACAGGAATGAAAAATAGGAATGTGCATTAATAAGAATAATTAATAGTGCAAACCCATACATGTCTACTCACAAATATCTTATTTAGTTTAATATTTCTGACACTCCCCAAATACGGTACTACTTCCTTGACCAGTAACAATGTCTCATTAATCCTATTAGAAAGTGACAGTAGGTAGTTTTCAGTTTAGTTTGCACCCAACACACTTCTGGCCAATCCTTAAATCCAGATCAGAGCAAACACATATGTCACTCTGTTCAGCTAAAACTGATAACCGTTAATTGGCAAAATGGGACACAAGGCAAGCAGGAGCAGGGAGAGAGAGGAGCAGGAATGATACGGAATAATTTGCATTATCTATAAATGCTTATCAAAAGACACAAAACTTTCCAGAGCCCATGGAAACACCATCACAGGTAATTGTCTGAAAGGGAAGAGCTTTTGTTTATTTCAGCGTTAATCCTTTTTTTTTTTTCCAAAGCAGCAGAACAGAGATGGAAAGTAGGATATCGGGTGATCCTTCCTGTATTAAAGAAACAGTTTGGCAGAGAGGATGAGGTATCAGGTACAAATCTGAGCAGTTGATGTAG